CCGAAACTGACAGAATTTCAAACTGAAGATACAAGCCGGTTGACCTGTTGCCAGCAAAGGAGCTCCTGTGCCTCTCGAACCAAAGGACAACTTGCACGTCGACTTTGTTCATGGCAAAGCCTCTAGTGCCTTGTAACACGTTGCGGGTGGGTTCCAACAAACCAGCAACTGATGGGTAGCTAAGGTAGCTAAGGTGCAGAAAGGTAGGAAGGTAAAAAGATGGGAGGCAGGAAGGTGGGAAGGCAGAAGGGTAGGAAAGTAGAAAAGGTAGCTTTATATCCCAGGAAAACCGCCGGGCCAACTCTGTGTCCAGGCCTGGCGCTCCGCTTCGTCCTTCTCCTTGGTCTTCTTCTCCCTGTCCTGACGCTCCGACGGAAGTGGATCGGGTCCGGTTTGAACCCCAACAACGCCAACCTGACTCGCTGCCATAGGTGGCCTTTTGACAAAAATAGACGGCCCTGGCAAATGAAACAAGACTTTTCCAAGCCGGTGCCATCTATGTTTAACCAGGCTCATGCACGCGTTCGATGGCATTCGTCAGGGAATAGAAGATCGTTCAATGGCTGTGGATCCTATTGAGTCACAGCTTAGAAGCCGCTTGGCATTCGATACTATCCTCATCCAAATCAGGTCTATTGGGCCTGTCTCATAGGGGACCACCAAACACAGACGCACAGACGCGCAGACAGACACACAAACACACAGACGCAGAGACGCAGAGACGCAGAGACACAAAGGTACAGAAACACAGAGACACAGACACAGACAGAGGACACACACACACACACACATGCCTCCATTTGACCATTCCAAAACCCGTTCGCCAGAAACCAGATGTCTCAGGCGTCTCTCAAAATCGGGGACCCCTAAATCTGGCTGGTTCCCTTTGGTTGCCCTTTTGAAACCAAGCCACAAAAAGACATAGCAACCAAATCTCCGCTCGCCGAAACAAAACAACCCTATCCCCAAACCTGGAATCCTTCGCAGTGCCCACTTCAAACTACCATGTCCTTCCAGAACTCCTGGTAGCTCCACATCGCTCGCTCGCTCCCTCCGAAAAATTTAAAAAAAATGGATACCCCCAACCACCAAAACTCCGCTCCCTAACCCAACCTCTTTAAAATCTCAAAACTTGGATAACCCCAGCTCCAAACAAACGCAAACTCCCCAACCCAAACAACACCAGCTACTTGAAAAAACGTCAACCCACAAAAAGCGGGAGACCGAAACGCCCCCGGTGCCGGCTCCACCGCCTGCAGCAGGGCCCGGCGCTTCTCGGTGTAGCCCTCCAGGCGGTCCGACACCTTCCGCAGCTCCTCCCGCGCGCGAGCTCCGGGTCCCCAGCGAGCTCCGGCTCTTCCCGCCTTTCGGTGTTTTGGGGAGGTTTACCACACCTGAGACAGCTGAAAAGGAGTTGCTCGAGCGAATTATATGTTGGTTTTTTTCGCTTCTGCAGACTTGCATGGAATCCGAAGAGGGCAACTCCCAAAGAAAAAGGGAGGGGGGGGGCCTCTAAAAATGATGGGGCTCCGTCTTCCTCTCTAGGGATTCCTTGGCCGGATTGCATGGTTTTCATGGGAAACCCCTTTTCAGATCACAATCGTGGATTCCATGTCCCAGCCCTGTTTCTGGAAGCCTCCAACTTGGGAGGTTTTTGACGGAGGTCAAAAAACCTGTGGCTTGGAAAAGCATCCCCAGCAACGAGGTCAACTCTCTTCTAGGCATCCCATTCTCAGGGCTCTTCTCTGAAAACAGCGAAAATGGCTGTCTGAAGCTTCAAGGATGGGCAACGAGATTTGGGAGTCGACCCTTCGACCAACGATTGTCACAACTGAGCACGGGTCAAAATTTGCTTTGGCCCTTGGTTCCATTTACCAGGGGTCCATTTTGGGGGTTACCCTATTCTTGACCCACAGCCAAATGGTCCTTCTCGTGCCACATTTTAAAGCCTTAGGCTCGGGTCCCCAAAAGGTGGGCTGAGGGCTTGTGGTTTTTGAGGGCCTCAAAAACCTGGGTTTGAAGGCAAAGCAAAAAAAGTTGAATTTTAGGGGCCCCAATTTTGGTCCCACACCCATGTCCAGTTTCTGATTCTTGGTCCCCCCCCCCCCCGCCACGGAAAAAAGCACTCCTGCGAGATGCGCTCGCTAAGATCCTCCCGGATTCGGAACGCATGGGCGAGAGGTTCCCCCGACATATTGCCTGTTCCCATGGATTGTTTCCGTGCCTAGGCCGTTGTTTTGTTTTTCTCTAAAATAGTTTCCCCAACAAAGGTTCAGTTCAAATATCTTGATCTCACCCAACCCTATGTGGCCATATGTTTCCACATATTCCAAGTATACTTCGCCTTGAAATGATAGCCAAACTTGTGGTGTTGGTGTTTGCTTGCTTTTGCTTTTGTTTACCAGAAAGGGAACTCTCGAATAAAGACGAATGGACCCTCTCCAAGAGCGCCACCTCCTTCAGCGCATTTCTCGCACCAGGTCACTTGGTCACTAGTCACTGGTGGCTGTTCTCGAAAGCCAGTGGAGCACTCTTTGCAGAAGAGTCATCCGATTAAGACATCCATTTGCTTTAAGCTTTAAGGAGCTTTACAAGGAGCCTTGCAAGGAGATTTATAAGCCTTACAAGCAGCTTTGTTAGGAATTGTCCAACAAGCCTTCTAAGGAGCTTTATAAGAAGCCTTAGAAGGAGATTGATAAGAAGCTCTATGGGGAGCTTTAGAGGGAGCCTCCTCTTTACAATGAGCTTTTGTTGTAAGGAACTTTGCAAGTACTATAAGGAGCTTTACAAGGAGAAGGAGCTTCATAAGAAGCTTCAGAATGAGCCTTGCGAGAAGCTTCACCAGCCAGAAAGGAGCCGTGTAAGGTGCTTGACAAGGAGCAAACTTGATACGGAGCCTTCTCAGGCTTGAGCCAGGACTTTGAGGCCAGGTGTTGAATTCTAATTCAAAGTTGAAATCCAAATCTGTTCCTGCCGTATTAAATCCTGAACGACCGAAACAACTCCAGGTTGTTTGGTTGTCTAACTCCTTGCTGACATGAGAATTATGCCTCGAGTGTTTCTGTTTGTTACATGGAAACACGGCAAAGGCAAACAGGAGCAAGGAACCCCTAGAAACGATTAAAAACATTAAAAAAAAAGAAGCAATAATAATAATAATAATCATAATAATAATAATCATAATAATTAGAAAACCTTAAAAAACTAAAGACCGAAGAAAAACATGCGAGGAAAAAACATGCGAGATAATTCTTGGTTTGGTGGCAAATGTGTGGTGTTGTGGTCTTCACACGGGTTGTCTTGTGTTGTTTGTGGCTTTCCCTTTGCTTTGCAGTTGTGACTAAACATATCAAGGATGTGGTTGTTTCAAATGTGAGCTAGGATGGAAACACAAAACAACTCGAGTTGCTGTGTTTCTTATATGGAAAAGCTAAACAACATAAGAACTGGTTTGCTTGGTAACATCCTTTTGGTAGCTGTCCCCACGTGTGTTTCAAACGTGCCAAAGCCATTGACCATCCCGCTACGTAAATTCATTTGATCCCCATGTGATCCGCACGGAAACCACCTATTCGAAAGCAAGCAAGGGGAATCAAAGGTCTTTGTCCTGATGTTCATACGTATGATTATATCCAGTTATACATAACAACACATAACATCAAAATATCATGTACATCAATTATATCCAGTTGTCCAGTTTATATCAATATATCCAGCTTGAAATCATATGTATAGATGTATATATGTATATGTATATTCTTCTATCCAGCTATACACACATGTATGTGCGTCTATATCCATGCTACATGTATAATGTGGCTGCAGGGACGTTGTCTTCACATGATTCAGTTATGCAACTCTTAAGGGACATATCATGCCACAGGCAGTTTTCAAAATAGGGAACCCCGTAAAGATAGTTGGTTTCCTTTAGGTGTCTCTAAATCGTGAACCCCCCATATGTAACCCCACCGTGTACGGTTGGGACACTTCCTCCGCATGTAGTTTAAGCTGTCCAAACATGTGAAGCCCTTCCCGGGAAATTCGATCGCGGCCAATGCGACCTGTGAGCACCAAGAGCAACTATCATTTTGACTACCCATCGCCTGCACCGGATGGACGAATTCCATTTCGAAGCACCTAACAAGCCATGGTTGAAACCGTTGCTTGTTTGTATTTGCAGGGGAGTCGAAGCATTCCAAGGTTTTGTTAGGTGGCGCAGGATTTCGTCCATGGCATGCAGTAGGAGAAGGATAACCAGCAAACTGCGTTGTCTTTGACCTTGAAAGGGTAAGCTATTTAGGGAAAACGTGAATGGAGTCCAAGGATAGTGAGAAACTTGGTAAGCTTGCCATGCGAAACCAAGTGCATCTTCGCTGCGCAGGATGCGACCAGGCGGGCATGCTTACACGCGGAGCTTTTACCAACACAGCTTGAAGGAAGCCATGGTGGCTGAAAATGAAAAGCAGCACTGAACAAGTCACAAGCATTGGCAGGCGCAAAAAGTGGTGCCTAGGAGAAATCTTAGGTAAAATGCAAACCAACATAGGGGTCCTATCCCATCCTACCAAGTTTGCCAGAGGGAATAGAACTCAACCGGTTGAGTACATTGCCCTGGGTTTAATTCTATTTTGGGGTAGCCAATCAAGAAAAATATTCCACTGCCCCACCCGCCCCTCCCAAACCACCGCCGCTCGCCTTCTCCAGCTGCAGCATCTCCCCCCGGTTCTTCTTCGCGGCTTCGCGAGCTTTCCCGGTGGCCGCCTGAGCAAACTGCTGGCGCGGTTTTGGGCCGTGCAAAGGTCTGGGAAAGAGAGAGAGAGAGAGAGAGAGAGATGGGCGGTCCTCCCAGTTTCCCAAATGATTCCAGGTGACACACCCTATTTGGAGACGTACACATTTCATGTCCATTGGATTGGGCTGTTGCAATGAGGAGACAATTCTGCGTGAAGCGGATGCTCCAGGATCTGGATGATCTGTTACTCCCACCGAACGCAGCCGCCTTTGTCAGTTCTTAGTCCAAGAGCAGACCTCTTGCTACTCATCTGAGACAGCCGTTGTTTGGCCAAGCGGGAAGCGACGTCCGGTGAAAAAACAAGACGAGTGCCGCAAAAGTCTGCTCCGCGGGCCTTCATTAGACCGGCACGGTGCTCCATGAACGCAGCCGCGCCCGCCATAAGAATGTAACCACTTCACAGGATCCAGAATGATTGGGATGAACTCCCCAAAAACCACAGGATCCAAACTTAAAATTGGGTGATCGCAGTGGCCTCCGGGGCGGGAAAACAACGCCCAGGTGCTTGTCCCTGGCTTTGTGACTGTGTGACCAATGTAGTGGAAGGCAGTACAGATTGGCTGGTGAGCGAAAAAGAGGACAATAGAGGAATATTGTCGCATTCCAAAGCAATGAAAGGACAAGAAACAATGCATCTGAGAGAGGCAACAAGCGTCTGAACTTTCTGTTTCCCGCCAAAGTTGAGACAATCGAAATATTCAGCCCAGAAACTGGCCAGAAATGGGCAACAAGCAAGGCTTGTTGCAGTCAACACGCCAAAACACAAGAGCTGCTGCCGTTCCCACCAGCTGTGACTCTTCGTTTTTTGGAAGGTGAAGGGGTTCCCCTTGACGAACGGAGGACAAACTCCCACATCGACATAGGTTCACCTGCCATGACTCAAAGGCCAAGAATCAAAGGCTGGCAAGCCCTTTTGGCTTTGCCTAGGGCCAGACACCAAAAATGGCAAAGACTCGATTCAGCGCTTTCGCTTCACTCCTCGCCCCCGCGCCCCCGCCCCGCGCCCCCGCGCCTGTGCCTGCTTCAGCGCCTGCTCTGTCTCCGACAGCTCCGAGACCTTGGTATGAGCAAGGCGTCAAGCGGAGCTGCGAGACGCTCTGGTCCATGGTGTCACTCCCCTTGCGCTACTTGGGTTTGCTGGCCAGTTCAACGCAACTGGCAGTCTTGCAACTGGACAAACATCCTTGAGGAACGGTGAACCTGGTGGCTGTACTTTGTTCTGGGTGAAAGCAGATGCGCAATGTAACCATCCCTTCACTCTGGATAAAGGAAATTGCGTCCGCTACGTTCACCCTAGTGTAGATGGTGGGCAACGTAGCGGCTGTATAGTGGTGAATAATTGTGGACAATCTGAACATGACCCAGTGGCTGCATATCTCATGAAATCTGCGGGTGGAATGATTTGAGGCTAGTGGAAACGATCATAGATTTCCATGCTGAGACTGAAATCCATGCGAAAGTGGATTTTGGAGCCCCAGCCAAAATCTTCACTTTGCGAAGACAATGTGGGAAGAGAGAGCAGAAAAGTCAAGAACCCTCCTCCTCCATGCGGAATCCCAAGCCTGGTTTCCTCCCGTAGATTGCTTACATATGATCGGTATTCTTCTGCGTGGAGTGGTTTGGGAACTCGTTGCGGGTGTTTGTGGCCAATTTCGGCCAATTTCAAAGGCATGGGACTCAGAAAACAAACATGTAATCCTTCCTATTTCTTCAATGACTGTGCATCTTAATTTGGGGCCCTTTGGTGGACATTATAATTGGATGCGTATAATTGGATGCGGATTCGTACACACCAACCAGTAAGGGTCCAACCACGCGCATCCGAACTCGGAAACTCTCGCCAGCTCTCTGAGCCCCTTGGAACTCGGAGCTAAAAGCGCCGCGCCCCCGAAATCTACTTGACAGTTGTGATGACCTTTGCGTGATTGAGTTTCATCAATTGGCAAATGGCACCAGGTTGAAGGTGGTTTCATCTTAAAAAGCTGAGCCAAGCAAAGTCTGATTCACATCGCTCTGTCATGCTCATTCCGATGGCGCCAAAAACTGTCCATGTGATTCAAGCCCGTCACCTTTCCCACGGCTGGGCCCTGGCCGCTTTGTCCCGCCGCACCGTGCGTTGCGCCACCTCCTCCCGCAGCGCCTCTCCGGGGAATGCGTCGCGTCTCGCGTGAATCGGGGTCCCTGTCCAAAGGAGGGATTCAATCTACGGGTCACATATAATCCTAGGGGAACACATCCGATTTTTGTCTAAAGCTTGCTCATCTATCGGGTTCATGATTGGATATTGTTCGATGGTTGACAGGGTGACAATTGGCAAAGTCTAGTCGGCACCTGTGTGTCTAGTTCGTTTCTAAACCGCACCCCCCCCGTCATTACAGAAAGCGCAAGGTAAACCAGCCGTTTGTGGAGAGATGCTTTGAAAGAGAAACATTGGTCAGGCTGGGTTGTTTTCAATATTCTAGGACACATCCTGTCCGTGGATCCATGGCATGTTGATGGGGCATCAAATAAGCCGCGCTCATGACTCTTCCAGTGACTTCTACCCTGACATTCCAACGCCCTGAGCACCTGATCCGGAAAGCAACCATGTTTCAAGGTGGCCAGTGACTTGTGGATGCTTCCCTCGAACCAGGCCCAAAACCAAACCCCGGTGCAGAAGGAGTCAGAATCCAAAGAGCGGGAAAGCCCACAATCGTCTTGGGGTTGAGACCGTCCCCCTACCTTCAATTCGAGGCCAGGGGAGGCAAACGAAAGCGCCGCGCAAGGTCAAGAAGGGGTTGCGGGGAGGAGTCTAACGAGGAGAAAAGAGCGATGGCCGACAGCCCTGCGTCCTAGGTGGCTCAATCCGCAAGACGCACTTCAGGGTGCAAAACGAAGCGCACCCTGAACTATCAGCGGGGAGAGCGACGAAACCGAGTGGGAGAGGAGCAAAGGGCAGAGGGACGAGGCGGGAAGAGCAGAGCCAAGAGCGGAACAAGTGGGCACAAAAGCGGAGAGAAGAGCAGAGCGAAGCCTGCTAAGCTTGCGGGCGGTCCGGGCGGGAGCGGGGGAGCAATTTGCAGGTGCACATAGAGAAAAAAGCGCATATCGTCCGTAGTTGGCGCACGAAATTGATGTATCACAGCGTGGGAATCACCGGCCCCTTTGCTTGAGGCAAAAGGGACTCCAGCCAGCAAGCTAACTTTCACGAGTATGCAGGTCTTGATTGCAACATGCAGCTGCACGCTTTCTGTGAGACCATTGGTTGATTCCCATGCCTACATTTGCTTGTCCCTTTGGGGGATTCCCCGAAAGGGCAGTTGCCCCTGAAACAGCAGCAAGACAGAGGCACCGGCGTCCTTTTGGAGGGCCAGCCATTTTCCACCAAAACCAAAAAGGACACCCTTGGACAGAGGGTGATCTCCTTGATTTCACTCAGAGCGACCGGACATCCGATTTCCCCCGCCCCGGGCAGAAGCACCTTGTTCCGCTGCGCCACGCTGCTGTACTGCGAGCCCCGCCCTGCGAAGAACGGGCCGAAGTTGGTTCCGAAATGGTGCCGAGGTGAAGCTCCCATCAGATCAAACATATACACAATGCTCAAAATAAAACACAAAATTCAAGGATGCAATCCCATGACAAAACACACACACACACACACACCCCAAAAAGAAGAAACATCTATTCGGAGGTGGATCCCCGTTTGAGTGTGGGTGGATCTCCGTTTGCCTTTGAGTGTGAGCTGCGTGGTCGGAAGCACCACTCGTTTTTTCAGCGGGGTCTGCTTTGTTCAGGGGCCAACACTCGGGATTGACCTCCCTTCAAGAAGAAACATGTGGGGCCAGCCTCCTTCCAAAGGCGACAAAATGACAAAAGGCCTATAATCTTGGACACCTCGGCTGCGTGTATAGAGTATCAACACAGCCAAATGGCATGACAGCTTACCTTTGGCGTCCAAAGACCACCAATCCCAAGACCCAAATCTTGTGGGTGCTGTGCGAAAGCCTTCAGAGCAAATCCACTTGGCTGCCCACCACGAGCTTCGGGCTCCCACGCCACTGGAAATCTAAGCCAGGCAGGCCAATCAAACTGGCAGAACCGAAACTGAGTCAGAGTCCTCATCTCAACCTGTCCAAGGAGTCTATCCACCACCCAAGAATGCCCAGTTGTTGCCTTACCTACTAATAGCATCATTAAGATTATGTTTGTTGGGCACACCGACCGCGCCCCAAAAAATCCACACACATCATCTGTTCCTTGGATTGATCCGCGTGCTAATCAGGGGTGTGTTCTCACCCCCCAGCCCCCCCCCCCCCCAGGTCCCGCGTGCGCCTTGCTTTGCGAAGAGCTGCCCCCTCTGCGCCTCGCAGATCTGCTTCTTCCGCAGTAGCTCCGCCTTCCTCCAGCCGCGCCCCGCCGCAGCCCCCCGCCGCCCGCCCCCGGCCAGCCCCCCCCTTCGAAGACCAAACGGGAGGGAACTGCCATGGAAGATCTGTCCCCCAAAAAAACGGGGGTCGAAGTGGGAGGCTTCAATGTTCGGGGTGCCTTCACACAAAGTCGAAAAATGGGTGTCTCTGTTAAGATGATCTCTTTTCACCACCCCAAAGTTCGGCTTTAGGTCCTGAAGCTTCCCGCCGCTTTCCACATCACCAAGGAGCTCCCAAGTAACATGTTCAAGGTGATGAGGAACCGGCGGGAGCCTCTCTCCTCTCCCTAAAAGGAACGATTGAGCCGTGAAAATGGCCATCTTCCGTTGCAGTGGGTCTTTTTGGTGACCAGCTCGCTAGCTGACAACATTACGTGGTCTCCCAGAACCCCAGGTTTTTGTGGGAAACGCATAGCTTGCCCCCAGTCCCGAAATGAACCAGGGACCACTTGGAAGACAAGACCCCTTTTCTGAACCCCGGACCCACCCAACGGCTGCGGGCCCTTTGGAGCCTGTGGCTCTCCTTCTCGAGAGCGGGCCTAGGAATTCCGGAAGAAGGGGAACTCCATCCCTCCTCTCCCAGTGGCCACTGGGCAACTGGAGAGACTTGCGTCAAATACCGCACAGCTGTCTCAACAATCTCCGACTCAGTGCAGTTCTGGTTAAAACATGGTTGGAACCTCCAAAGAAGTAGGGGTTGATCAATACTCCTGGCCCCCAAATGCCATGGGTATCTTTTAAGTGGTTTTCCGCAATGGTCATCCCATGTGAAGAACCTTTTGATCAACCCCCGGATAGGTGTGCTTGTGCTTTCCGCAAAATACCATCTACAAGGGGGGGCCATGGCATGATTTTGGCTACGTCCATTTCGGGCCGCGGTTCCGCTGCCTGAACCCCGGCTGCAGACCTCCGGGTTAACCTACTAAAAGAAAAGTTGAAAAAAGGAGCCCTTCTGTTCACACTTCGTTGTTTGACATTCGTTGACCTTACTTGCCCCAGGGTTACCCCACCCCACCCCACCTAATGCCACCCCACCCCTTGCAGGGGTTGTGGGTGGAAGTCTGGGGCAGCGGCTTCTGTTTGGCCATCTCAGAAATGATCTGCTCGCTCTCCGCAGAGAGGCGATTCGCCTGGCAGGAAACCTTTGGCAAAGCCATTCCGGCGGCTCCAACACGCACGCCCCTCTCATCTGCATCAAAACCACTGCGTCGAACCCTCGAAGATGTTTGGTTTTGCCAGTCAGCCCATTTGTTCTTTGAAGAATGGGGAAGCTAAACTCAGACCGGAAGCGTTGTCGGAAATCCGCCGAGGCCCTTGGGCCATTGGGCCGGTTGGGCGACAAGGCTTGATCCAACATTGACCCCTGAAGGGAGGCATCGAACAATAATTGGCTTCAACAATACACACGCAGTAACATATATGTCTCTCCAGGCGATAGAACTGACGGAGCACGCACATTTTTTCGTAAGGAAAGGGCCCAAAAAAATATAGTGTCAGTGCATGCCAACGCGGCCACAACGGCACCACCATAAAGATTCCGCCTCAACACGGACAGTAGTTCGCTCTCAAACCGTCCCTAAAGAAGCCCCGTTGAACCGAACCCAAACCCAAACCCGCCCCAACAAAAAAGAACACAAAAAACTTAACCGCACCTAAACCAAACATGCCTAAACCAACCCAAACCTAAGCCCACCCTAAATCCAAGCCTAAACCCGCTTCAACCAGCAACAGCCAACCCTGAACCTTACCTCTGCAAACCTTAAACCAACCAAAGCCAACCGACAATCTGCCCCCCGCCCAAATCCCTTCCCCCACTTTGGGATTTGCATCACCATTCAGGAGGGGGGGGGGGAGAAAAAAAAAACGCAAGTCAAATTAATGGGTTTTGGAAGCTGTTTTGATGTGCTGAAGGCTTGTTTTCAAGAGCCAATTGTGTTGGCGTTGGTTTTATGCTGTTTGCTGTTTGCTGTTGTTTGTTTTGTTCTTTGCTGCTCTAGATCGGTGCTGGATCGGCGGAGGCGGGGGGGGGGGTGAAAGTGTGTCGAACTTGTGGCGTTTACTCGTGAAATCTTGGTGCGGTTCGAACCCGAGCGGTGGCTCATTGGTGGGGGAAAAAAAAAACGGCATTGCCTGCAAGTCTTTCGAAAGCAGACACGGGGTCGAATTGGAGCCCACGGCAGCACCGCCCCCCGGGTCCAAAGCCGTGGCAACCCTGGCCCCGACGCCAACCGCCTCGGTCCGGAGCTCGTCCTGGGACTTGCTGGCGTCCTTGGATCGCATCTGCTCGTCCGCCAGCTCCAGCCTCAGTTCAACCCCTTGCTGGGGCCTCGAAGGGGGGGAGGGGAGCGGGAGGGGGCAGGGGGGGGGGGGGCGCCGTGTTCCAGAAGCAAAACCCACCTTTTTGGGAATCGGGATTTTTTTTTGGGGGTGTTCGTTGGCCTGAGAAGCGCAAGATCCGGCTTGGAAAGCTCCAAGCTTGCACATGAGCTCGTTGATGATAAAATGACCATTTCCCCCGAGCTTGCTGTTCGGGGAACCAGTATCCAGTGCGAAGGGTGCCCCGTCTCGCTCTGGCCTGAGGGTTACGCCCAAATTTGGCCTCAACTCGGCGCAGGACTCTGAGCTCCAGTGGAGTCGATGCCAAAGTCATCAAAGTGGCAGGAACTCCCACCCTCAGGTAACCCTTACTTGACGGTTTGGAATGGTGGTTTGGGAGTATGAATCCCTGGCTTGTAGAGGGTTACTGGCAAACCACCTGCAACACCTCCAAACCACTTGCAACAGCCAGCTTTCTGGGCTCCGGCTTGAAGCAGTTCGGGATCCGAAGCAAACCCCAAACAAACTCGAGCCAAAATCTGAGGAACTTCTGCGTTACAAAACGCACCAGAAACCACCAAGACGGGTCGCCAAAAGCCACGGGTCAGTTCAAACGGGTCAGTTGAGACCTCTTTGTGGTGGGTCTATCCTTGCTAAAGGACCCATTTGCCCATCTGAAATTTCACGCACAAACTTTCGTCAGCAGTACCGATCGCATGATCGGCTTGTTGGCAGAAAATTGGCCTTTCCTACAAACCCAGAACCCCTCCCCAGCGTGATTGGGTTTCCCGGTTCCCTCGAAGGCCCCGTCCGAGTCCCTAGCTGATCTGGGGGGTACTTCCCGTAGACTTGGGGCTTCCATGGGCTCCCCAAGTGGCAGGCAACCAAAAGGGAACCACGTGTCACCACACGGACAAATGGTCCGTGACCTCACCTCTGGTGATCTGAAACATAATATCTCGGAGCACCCCCTCTTTGGATGCTAAAAGCCAAGTCCAAAAAACAAGGTGGCCAGCAAAGCAAAACCAAAGAGCCAAAGAGCCGAAGCCGCCCAAAAAACTAAGCCGGAACAAAAAAAGGGGAAAAAAGAAGAAGAAACAAAACGGAAAAAACAAAAAAAGAAAGAAATAAGAAGAAGAAAAAAAGGGAAAAACAAAAGCCCAAAAACGAGAAAGCTGGCCTCCAAAACCCCATCCCCACCGCCCATTCGTCTTCAGCGCCCCGGCTTGGCGCGGGTCAGCTCCTCCATCTGCCGGGCCCTCGCCCGCTCCGCCTGGCTGCGGAGGGAGTGGGGTGGAGGCGACGTCTCAATGTGTCTCTGTGTGTGCTTGGTGTTGCGTGTGTGTTTGTCGTTTTGTGTGCTTGGTGCTTTCTTTGGCTTTGCGTTTTGTGTGTGTGTGTGTGTGTGTGGGTGTTTTTTGGTGTGTGTTTGCTTTTTTTGGGGGGGAAGGCGCTCGCATAGCGAGATGCGTTGACCCGAGCTGTTGAGGTTTAGCACACCTGTAGGCTCTGGAGCATTAACCTGAGGGCCTGTCCGCGGGTCAGCGAATGCGCGCCGGTCCCGCCACCATGAGGGCGGAAGGCTAGAGGCTTGAACCGGCACATGAGGACCCCTTTTGAGGGCACATATCCAAAAATAGCACAATCAACACCCGGTATTAAAATGGTCTACCCAGAACCATGTAAAGAATTAAGAAGGCGGCCGCAACTACTTCTGGCTGGGACTGCCCCTTACTAACCTTCATCAACCCGGCTTTTGAGCACGTGGCTCATTTGGAGAAGATCCAAACCTGCGTCAACCTGAGGGGAGCTTTGCCTCTTCGTGCTCCGCCGTGAGTCTCTGCTTCTCCGTGTTGGCCTCGGCCCGACCAGGAAACAATCAAGAAACTTTGGCCAGGACCAGGTCTAAAACCTGGGTCCGGGTCTGGACAAATAAGCCCATCCCCTTTTGGCATCCCTTTGGGTAAATCAAAGGAGACTTGGCCTATTTAGCACCCAGAAACAAGCACGCAAAAAATAGACATACGGGGATCCGTTTGCTGGCCACGTCTACCAAACGTATTGCCTTGCCAATCATCCAACTTGTTGAGACGATGGTTTGCTCGTACTCCGGATGGTTTGCTCGCGCTCGCCAATAATATGTGCTGCTCTTGACCCTTCCAAAGCCTCGCAGAAAGGTGTCAAACAACCGTGGTCCATCTTTAAAAAATAGCTCGGGAAGAATAAGCGTGCTCACGCATGGAAACCCCCAAAGGCCAAGGTGGAAAAGTGCTCAGGTCAACTTGCCTGTGAAGGTCAAACTTCGGAGAGCCCACGGGCGTTTGTGAGAAGCAATGGTTGGGTGGCGAGGTTCTTTGTATTACTGGCCAAGAACTATGACTGACAGTCTGCATAATCTGTGTCACAGACTCGTGACATAAAACCAAATCGGTGTCACGCAAACTCTCTGGGGCTTCCTTGGACCCTCGTTAATGTGAAAAGTCAACAGTTTTGGGCGTTGCTAGAGGAAGCAATCCAGCGAGGCTGCATGAGAGGAGCATGAGTTCAGGCACGAAAGTTTGAAAATCACCGGCGAGCACTGCTCTTTCTTCCATATGGTCGGGTTTGGCTTGGGTGTTGGAGGTGTTGAGATACGGTTGGCCGACGGGTGTCCTGTTCCCCATTCCAAAACCAATTCGCAACGACGCCTGAGACACCGATTCAACAGGAAAAGCCAAGCATGAAACCCAATTCTGCCCAACTCATTCGCCGGCCCCCTGCAGCGCAACGGCCCCAAAAGGAAGCTTCCAACATTTGCCGGAAAGTCTCTGTCTAAACTACCCAAAACGGCATGTATTCCCCGTGCTTCATGACCATACCAACCCAACCCCAAGAAGAGATGCTTCACATGCCCTTCACGCTGGCTTTCCCTTTGATCTCCAACAAATGCCAGCCCTCAACACACGCAGCGTGTCACCATGATTAGAGTTAGGCCCAGGTATAGAATGTATATTCTATTGATTGCTTCACTTTGAGTCACTCGTAAAATGTAAAATGTATCCTAAGTCTACCACCAGCTCAAACCCTTTGTGACTCGAAACGGGCCAACGGTGGACCTGGGAGCCCCCGAAACCTGGGGTCCCTGCGCGCAGGGCCTCCGCCTCCGCCTCCTCGAGTTTGGCGCGCTGCTCCGTGGCGTCCCGCTGGGCCTCTGGCGCCGGCGCGAGGGACGAAGAAACTTGCGGCGGAGCGGCGGGTTTTTGGGTCCGAGCCACGGGGGAGATGGATTGGAGCATGGAGTGATTCTTGATTGGGGGTTCGTTCCCAAAAAAAGATGGTCTGATGATGGTACAGCCACGCCTTCTACCCTTCATCTACCGGGGCATTGATTGTAGCTCATTTGGCCAACTCCTGGGAGGCATTTGACAGGGAGGCATTTGACAGAGGGGACCGATTCCGATCTTGAGACAAACGGGTCGCCTTGTGGACCTGCTCGGCCACCTCCCGCTTCTCCACCTCCAAATTCTCGATCCGCTCCTGAGACAGCAGCTCCCCAGATGCACATGGGGCTTTCGGAAGCCCTCTTGTTTGGACACTGCGTCGCACCCTTTCCGGGTTCCGCAGTTTACTGCGGAAGGAAGATCGAAACTGCTTGGCTTGATAAGGCTGACCTGAGAAGTCCGTCCAGAAAGGGACGGGGGAGTGAGTAAACCCCAGGCCCAAGACGGACATTGCACCGGCGAGAGACCCCAACAGTGGTCCACGCAAGTCCTGAAAGTAGCCGTAGCAGATGCACGCAGGGTCCCTATAGAAGGTCTTGGAGTCTTGCACATGCTCTTCAGACAGACGAAGCCTTCTGAAGCCCCTATAGAAGTCTCCTGTGGAAAGAGGGTCTGCGCAAGATTTTCCAAACAAGTTCTAGAAACTTAGCGTCTCTTGATAGGACCTCCTGGCAAGTTGTGTATGCAGGATTTCCAAGAAAACCTGTAGAGAGCGTCCTTTGCAAGATGTATCGACATGAAACCTTGGCAGGTCCTGCGCGAGATCTGTTGCGTAGACTCCTATGCAGGACTAGCGCAAGATATCTGTGAAGGATCTTTGCAAGATCTCTGCGCAAGATCTCTGGAGGATCTCTGTGCAGGATACCCTCTGCAAGTGTTCTGCTCAAGATCTGTAGGGAGCATCCTCTGCAAGACCTCTAGCAAGGAAAACTTGACGTAGCGAAAAGTGCGCACCCGTTCCCAGGCAGTGGTTGATCAGGCGTCGCGACCCATGTAGCTTTCAGCCTGTTGGAGACGCCAAAGCACGCAGAGGGTCACTCTTTTTCGCAATGTCTATTCCCCCGCATGCCATTCTTTCTTCATCTTGTCTGCGCGCAAGACTACCTTAAATTAGCGTCCGTAGCACCAAAGCTCCTTCGAAACTTCCTTTGACTGGCAATGATGATCAAAAACACCACATAATGAGAAGAAGCAGAAGAAGAAGACGAAGTGCGATATGCTGAAAGACCAATAGTAGGAATAGGCCCAGGCACCACCACCTCAAGCCGCCTGTCTCCTCCGATCCCAGGCGCCTGGGCGGTGCGCCAGTCGCGGTCCGTGAGCTCGTACTCTAGGCACCGCCGCTGCTTCCTTTGCACTGCTTCGGATCGGGTCGCATGGGCAAATGGGAAACCAAACCAATTGGGTGTGTTTGGATTTCACGGGAAACCCCATTGGGTTGGGTTTTACTGCAACTTAAGAGGAAACCAAGCATTTTGGGAGCTCCCAACTTCGAGACAAAGCCAATCTGGCAAGGGCGTTTCCTGTGTGACTCGGGCATGACACTGGGAAAGTATGGTTGGGCCAGCTTCGCTTGGAACGCCGCTAGGACAGCAAATCGCAGAGGGACAGACCCGCGGAGCACTTTTGCGGACCCAAAGCACAGAGCGCCTCCCACATGGTCTCCCAAGACAGCATGGGCAATCCGCAGAGAGACAAACCCGCAGGGCACCAACGAGGTTTGCTCTGTGCACCTCTAGAATCCTACGCTCCGCATCTGCCACAGAAACCGCTCGCTGCCATGGAGTCTGCCCTCTTGACCAAATCGTTGAACTGTGTCCTACTTAAGGGTCTCATTCTCTGCCCCCGCTGGCTCCTGTATATATATATATACATATATATATATATATATGTATATGTTGTGAAAGCACCACCTTCGCTTGTGCCAGTGTATCTATGAGGACCTACCGTGGCCGACAGGCTCAGGGGTGGGTGGGCGCGGATGAGCTTTGTGGTGGAAGCCAAACAGGAGCGTGGCAGCGGGGCGGAGGAGAAGGGTGAGGCACCCTGGGAACGAAGCCAGTTTTGATATTGGCAGCGGAGCCGCTGGTCGATCTTTGGTCGCAGAAGGTGGAGCTACTGGTTGGAGTCTGGCCAAAGGAGAAGTTGAGCGAGTTGGTGATGAGGCTCATCCTCAACACGTCCGGGACGGCCTTCCAGAAGTTGCAGCTTCATCGAGATGAACTTCAATCCAACGATCTCAAGGCGGTCAGGAGGTTGATTGAGATCGTGGGCGGAACCTGGGGTCAGGTTCCTCTGGAGAAGCGCTTCGAGCTCGCCGAGAAGGTGCTGTACAAGATTCAGCAGAAGCCGGATGAGACGAACGACTCCTACCTGGCCAGAGCTGACATCGCGTGGACGGAGTTGCTACAAAAGAAGATGGATCTACCACAGCTACAAGCCTACATCACGCTGAGGAACAGTAACCTGGCGGGCGAGGACAAGAAACGGGTGCTGGTGGAGAGCGGCGCGGAGAAGGAAGTGACGCTCACGATGGAGAAGGTGACCGCAGCGGTTCGCATGCTGGGCACCAGCTTCTTCCAGGACTACACGGGGCAGAAGAAGAATCGAACAAAGGTCTACGACCAGGCCACCCTCATGGCAGAGGAGGAGATCGAGAACGATGACGAGGAGATCTATGTCACGGAGACGAATGAGGACGAGATGCTGGAGACCTTGGCCATGGAAGGTGACGAGGACGCTGTGCTCATCACGCAATTCGAAGAGGCCGTGACTGAGTCCATCCAGAATGACCAGGAGCTGGCGACGTACTACAGTGCCTACCAAGACGCAAGGAAACGTCTGAATGACCGAGCGAAATTCAGAGGTTTCTGGCCGACCAGAAAAGGGTCGGGAAAGAAGGGCAAGGGCGTCGGCAAGGGCAAAGGCTTTGGAAAGAAGACACTTGCACAACGAATCAGTGAAACCAATTGTCGACTATGTGGACGAAAAGGACACTGGAAAGCCGAATGCCCCAACCGAGGAGCTGGAGCCACTACAACGGGAACAACACCGACGGCACCAGCCACCTATGCGGCAGTGTCCATCGAGGAGCAGATGCCTGAGGCTTTGCTGACGGTACCGGAGATGGCATTGACTGAGGACGGGTTGAAACAGACAATGCAGATAAGTAAGTGTCAGGAAGCCCTAGTCACAAGCATACTGATGAAGCATCCTAGGCCTGACCAAAGTGACTGGTCCCAGCGCAGGAAACTTCGTGAAATCCTGAGACCCGCCAATGATCTGAGCTTCAGGAAACTGTGCCATGAATCCCCATCAAAGGTTGAATACCCCGAGAGTGCAACCAGTATCATCCATGATGTGTGCTTTGCCTCAAATGGAACCCTAGGGGTACTGGATCTTGGAGCGTCGCAAACAGTGATGGGGAGTGCACAGGTTGCTGAGTTTTTGCAAGGGTTGCCCAACATCGTGCGCAGCCGAGTAAGACGAAGTCCATGTCAGATGACTTTCCGGTTCGGCAATCAGGAAACCCTGTGCAGTCAACATGCACTAATCATCCCATTGGATGCCCAGGGAACATGTGCAAGAATAGCCATTGTACCTGGCAGAACCCCATTCCTGATTTCAAACTCCCTGCTGTGTGCACTGGAAGCCGTAGTTGACACGAAGAAACGGATGCTGTACCTGGGAAGGTATCATAAGCAGATACACATGAAGTTGTCGAATCGCAATCTCTTCCTAGTAGATTTCTGTGATTTCGTGTCAGCCGAGAAAGCCATCCCGAGTGGTCGACATACGACTGCCTGCGATCAGACAAGTGCAATGAAGGCCTGCGCAGTACTGATGACATGTGATTCCCAGACCGAGACAAAGGTCCTGAGCCGCGAACAAGTGCAGTCAAGACCATTGGACCGGACGGACAGACCCAGGATCCCAGCCGTGCAAGAACATGTACAGGATTCCGCAGAGTGTGCACTGCAATTGGGGACCCTTTTTAATAAGCCCATCATGTCTGGAAGTGCAAACATGAGTGAACCATTGCAGCCATCGGCCACAAATCCCTGTGAGTGCAATCCAAGTGTGCTTCGTCAGAGTTGCAGCCATGAACACACTCTCGCACCGTGTCCAGATGATGCAGAAACGCATGGAAGACAACTCAAAGACACCCATCGCGGACATGGACCTGGAGGAACTGGAAACATGTGTGATCAGTTTCGGGGACACCAAGAAGGGCATGATCTTTCCCAAGGCATTCCAAGACATGGCGTGGACAACCTTTGTGGTCTCCCGCTTCCAGAACTCCGAAAAGAGAGAACATCAGGAATTTCTTCGGTATGTTCAACTGCGTGTGGAAATGGACGAGAAGAAGGAGGTGATCGACAAGTCAGTGCAATTCCTGCGCACGAAAGGGTATCCGAAAGCCAAGGCCAAAAGCATGTCTCAACACTCGACCATGCGTTCGCACGAAGAACCAGTACTACCGGAGGAGGAACCGGACGAATGGGAGGCCCTGGTCGAGCAGGAGACGGGAGAACACACCACCAGAGAGGAAATGAACATGCTGCAGGGTCGAATGCTCTACATGGAGAATGCGTTGCAGGAAGTGATCGGACACCTACGCAACCTGACCGCCAACAGTGGCCATGTGACGGAACCGCAGTGAGGACTCTGCCGGAGGCCAGTGTCCAAAATGTGAGTGCATCCATGCCGAAACAAGAAATACCTGAATTTATCTCGGATACACTGTGGGAAGAAATGGACCACTCCGTAACCAAACAGTGTCAAAAGCCAAGGGTGGATCCGCACATAATCCCAAAAGGGTTGATATCTAAATGGGTCAAGAGGTTCAAGCTGGAATTAGCAGACATCCAACAAGGCACTCAAGTAAGCAAAATAGGCTCCAGCAACAAGTGCTTGGTGATGGAAGTGTTTTGCTCCGAGCAAAGTCAATTGTGTCATCAGGTGCAACAGATCGGACACCAAGCCATCCGTGTGAGCCTATCGCAAGCTGACCTGGAGACCAAAGCCGGTCGGGAAGTGCTATTTGGGCAACTAATCAGTGCCCAACCCAGACACGTGTGGTATAGCCCCGAATGCAAAGAATACTGTCAATGGTCCCAGTTCAATGCATCCCGCACCGCAAATGGTCTCGAGGAATTGTGCCAACGCCGAAGTGATAAGTGCTGGCAGATTGCCCTAGGGTTGGTTCTCTTGGAATACCAACAACAGTGCAGCAAGCATTTTCACTGGGAACAACCCGACGGATCAGCCATGTGGAAGTGTCCTGATGTGAACAGGGCGTGTGCAGAACTGTTTGCCAGTCGATTTGACATGTGTGTCGTGGGAAATCTTCAGGATCCGGTAACACTGAAGTTCCTTCGGAAACGGATGCGTGTCATGACCACTCAGTACCAGATGTGGAACATGCTAAATGACCGTTTCTGCCGAAACGAGCATCAGCATCAGCCAATTCAAGGGACAACCATCGCTGAAGGAAACCGGGTCAATGTGTCAACATTCACTGAGTGGTATACACGTAAGTTTGCCCGACAGATCGCCCGTGTCATGGCACAGGACAGTAGAGGTCCGTGTAAGTGGCCTATCCATGCGCTGAAAATTGAAAGAAATGAAGACCCTGAGCCACCGGCCCGTAAGCGATTGAGGATTTGGGGAAAGCAAGCCAACCACAAGAGAACAGGTGATCAGCCAGACTCAAACAGTCAGAAGAGACTGAAAATTGAGGAACCCACTGTCTCATCGGGGGAAAACTGGAATGAAGCGTTTGAGGTTGCGGACAAACAGGCACCTCGTGTTGGACGCTTGACCATACGTGATGGTCCCCTAGTTGAAATCGTACAACGGCAATGGCCCGATGTGACCGTCAAATTCGTGATAGTGTGCCGGGGAACTGATCGTCATCAGAAGCCTACAGAACCGACGCCAAGTGGAGAGGCACCACTTCGGAGAATGGTACTGGTGCATCGCAAATTTGGTCATGTGCATGCTGAAAATGAGTGGGAACCCTGGGAGAAACTTACCTATAAGCAGATGCATAGGAAAACTTTGCCGGCCAAAATGTGCATCATCGCCTTTGGGCTTGCGAAGAACGTGCCTGAAGTGGTGCCTGTCCTCAAGCCCGGATCGTGCAGAGAATCCGAGCAGAATGAATTCATGCATCGTGCAAAGGCCGAGCCAGATGCAAGCCGTCCGACGAGCACAGGGATGCAGCCAGCATCCATCGTGAATCAGGGAGCACCCATGGATCCTAATGCACGTGAAATAATAGATTTGACCAATGACCAACATGGACCCCTGTTCCAGAAACTAGATGCCGACAAGCGGCAATTGCTCATGAAAATCCATAAGAATTTGGGTCATCCTGGGTCACAACAATTGCAGACCATACTGCGACAGCAAGGGTGGTCATCCGATGTGATCTCAGCCATACCCGACATGAAGTGCTCAGCGTGCCAGGAAACCCAAAGGCCACGGATTTCAAGACCCGCGACCTGCAAACCCGATCTAGATTTTGGGGACATAGTGTCCATGGACGGAATCAGATGGCAAACGAAAGAAGGGAAGTCGTTTCATTTCTATCATTTCATTGATTGGTCCACCAGCTATCAGACAGCCGTGTTTATGCCAGATCATTCCACTGACAGTGCCAAGAAAGCTCTTTTGCAAGGGTGGATTCAGTGGGCAGGGTCACCGTGTCAATTACGTGTAGATTCCGCGACCGAACTCAACTCCGAGAATTTCTCACAGTTCCTGCAAAGGTTCAACATCCAATCAGAAACCATTGCGACGGAAGCCCACTGGCAAAATGCTAAGGTAGAACGTCATGGGGCAATCCTCCAAAATATTCTTGACCGGATGCATCAAGAAGAACCAATTCTGAGTGGCGAAGACATGCAAATTGCTCTGGGTTATGCCTGCAGTGCCAAAAATCAATGGTCCCGAGTTCGAGGGTATCCGCCAGAAATCCTTGTGTTTGGTAAATTGATCAGGCAGCCCGGGTCAGTGGTGTCAGACTGGAGCCTCCCAGCCCATGCAGCAACCGAAGAAGAGTCAGCTGAGGGAATCCAATTCCGTGCACAGCTGGCCCGACGTGAAAGTGCTCGCAGAGCATTTGTGAAAGTCGACAATGACCAAGCTCTTCGCAGAGCCATTGTACACCGAACCCGACCTCACCGAGGAGTGTACCAACCAGGAGAAAGTGTAATGATTTGGAGAACCAAAGGAGTCGGTGATGGGCATTGGCAAGGACCACTCAAGGTTGTGCTTCAGGAGGGGAATTCCGTGGTGTGGGTCACTGGAAATTGTCGACTGTACAGAATTGCACCGGAACATGTCCGAACAGTGTCAGCCATGGAATTGCATTGGCAACACCAGGAACAACAAGTGAACCCTGAGATCGCCAAAGCATCGAGGAATGGGGTTGTGCAATTCCGAGACCTGGGCCCGTCATTAGTCCCTCAGAGTGTGAACCGAGAGGATGCATCCAGCAGTTCGGCAAACCGGGAAATCAGTGGAAACCGTGATGAAACCACAACAATACCCAGTAGTAGTTCTGAGCAGGTTCCAAGGCCCAGTGCTGCCGAACAGCCTGATCATGAACCTCCTGTGTCCAGTCAGACATCAGATGGCTCCGAGTCCAAAGCCGATCAGCCACAGCCAACGGAGGAACCACTGGATATTGACGCAAGCCAAATTCCCGTGCCTGTTGATAACTTTGATGAACTCTTTGTTGAAACCGAAAGCATAAGTATTCCAGAGGGGTGCGCTTGGGAATGCAGTGTTTTTGTCACACAAAAAGACATTGAGCACTGGAAGCGAGAAACCCAACCTGAACAGATGTGCTTTGCAGCCACAGCCGCCAAGAGACAAAGGGCAGAGGTCAAAATGATTAACCTGAACGACGAGCAAAGGAAACAGTTTCAAAAGGCGAAGGACGCTGAAATTTCCTCATGGCTTGACACTCAGACCGTGGCAAGAATTCTGCGCAACCGCATCCCGGCGGAAAATGTCATGAGATGCCGATGGATCCTGACATGGAAACCCGTGGAAGAAGGTCAGGGACAGCACTCTACTCCGGACAAAAAGGCCAAGGCCCGTTTGGTTGTCCTAGGATATGAAGACCCCCAAATAGCTGAAATACCTAGGGACAGTCCCACCATGGGTCGATTATCTCGAATGCTGCTGTTGCAACTCATTTCAAGTCACGGATGGGAACTCCGGTCATTCGATGTGAAAACAGCCTTCTTGAGAGGTAACATGCAGGACCAGAGACTGTTGGGACTGGAACCGCCTGAGGAGATGCGTGCACGCATGAATCTCAAGCCAACCGAAATCTGCCAATTGCTCAAGGGAGCGTATGGCAGAGTGGATGCTCCGTATCTGTGGTACAAGGAAATCAGAGGTTTCCTGGAGTCACTGAACTTTAAGGTATCCCCCTTTGACAATTGTGTCTTTGGTTTGTTCAGTGAACAAGGATATGCCCATGGATACATCGGCCTGCATGTCGATGATGGATTGCGCGGTGGAGATCAAGTGTTTCAAAAGGCCCTTGAATGCTTAGAAGAGAAATATCCCTTTGGCAGCAAAAAGAAGGGGTCCTTCAAATTCACTGGAATTCAATTGGAACAGTTCCCTGATGGTAAAATCACCCTTAGACAAGGGGACTATGTCAAGGAAATTGAATCCATTCTCATCGACAGGAACCGACGTCAACAGACTACTGCACCCATCAATGAATCCGAAAGGCAGCAGCTCCGGGCATTAGTAGGTAGCTTACAGTATGCCGCAGTCAACACTCGACCAGACATTGCAAGTAAACTCGGAGCTCTTCAAGGGAAAATCCGAAAGGGTATAGTCAGTGATTTCATTGAAGCAAATAAGCTATTACATGAAGCTAAGCAAACAGCCGAAGTGTGCCTGCAGATACAACCGATTGCCATCAGCGACCTGAGGTTTCTGACATTCTCCGATGCCTCGTTTGCCTCCGAAAAGACCAGTGACTCTCATCAAGGAATGATGATCATGGCAACTCATGAAGAGATTGAACAGGGTCACCCAAGCATGGTCAATCCCATAATATGGCATGCTAAGAAGATTCAGAGAGTCACAACATCAACGTTGTCAGCCGAATCCATGGCCCTCAGCCAAGCACTTGACGTGCTTTCGTGGGTGCGACTGTACTGGTCATGGTTGCTAGACTCAAAGTGCAACTGGCGTTGTACAGATCAGACATTGTTACAATTGCCACCAGCCTTTGCCAGTGCAACATGCTCGGCGGAAGATATCCAGCCGGCACCGGTCGCCAATCAAGCCCTGACACCAGCAGTGTCAGCCACGGACTGTAAATCCCTGTATGACCTCGTAACCCGGCCAGCTACTCCATCGTGTGGTGAGTTTAGGACCCTCCTTCAAGCTAAACTGATTCAGGAGCATTTAGCAACTGGGATTCGCTTAAGGTGGGTACACAGTGCAGCCCAACTCGCTGACGCTCTTACGAAACCGATGGATGGCACCATCCTCCGTGAATGCCTCAAGCAAGGCAGATACTCATTGCGCGATGAGACCGAAATCCTTAAAGCTCGATCATGTGCCAGAACGCGATTGCAATGGCTGAAACATTCAGCACAAGTGTCATGATGTTGGGGTCTGACGCCTGGGGAGTGCAATCACCATGGGATGCACAAGCGAATTAGAATTTTCAGGGTGTGTGAAAGCACCACCTTCGCTTGTGCCAGTGTATCTATGAGGACCTACCGTGGCCGACAGGCTCAGGGGTGGGTGGGCGCGGATGAGCTTTGTGGTGGAAGCCAAACAGGAGCGTGGCAGCGGGGCGGAGGAGAAGGGTGAGGCACCCTGGGAACGAAGCCAGTTTTGATAATATGTAGATGTATAAACATATATATATATATATATATATATGTGTGTGTGTGCTGCCACAAAATTTGGCATTTCATCAGGGAAAACGTGAGTAGTGGGGGGCCTTACCATATATATATATATATATATCGTATATAAGTAAATGTATGTACATATTTATAATACATACGTATGCATATATGCACATGATGCCTTGTTGGGACCTCACCATGCTTTCATGCATCGGCTCTCCCTGCGCGCGCGCCATCCGGGCCGGGCCCCCGGCTCCAGCTGCTGGTACTCCACCAGCTCCCGCTGCTCCTCCTCCAGGCTCTTGATGCGGCCCGCCACCGCCTCGCGCGGCGGGGTCCCGCGGGTCCCGCGGGTCGCGGGGGCCCGCGGCCCGCGGGCGTTTTCGGAGCTTTGGCTGGGGCCGCACAGGGGGGGTCCTTCAACGCAGAGGTCATGGGCCATATTTCAGTCAAAGTGAAACCAGGGTCTGCACACGAAAATATAAAAAGACGCAACGCCTGGGCAACCCAACTTTGTGGAGAGTACGGTACCCCTTTCGGGGTGGTTTTAAGGGGACCCAAAGTGGGAGTGCCCTAAATCAACCGGCTGGTGCTCGGCAGGGAGTGGCCTATAAACCATCCTGCTGTGGTTTCCTTTATTCCCACATTCCCTAGTGAGCACCAGCAAGAAAAAGCGCCGTGGTCCATGGGGCCAAATCCAGCCAAGGAGGAGGGTGCCCATCTTCAAGCTATCGGTGGCTGGCAAAGCAACTTGCAGACTTTGAGCTCGCCATTCAACAACTCATTGTGGATGCAAACATGTTCTTGCGCAAGAAAAACGCCTAAAGCCTCAAGCTGCGAAGGCACGTGCTCTTTTCTTGCACTGCGGACTCTTGGCATGCCGCTTCACAGGACTCCACTGCTCCCCTTGTGGGGGCCTGGAGGTCCCGAACTGACCCGTCGGCAGGCGGCGTGGGATTCCCCGCACCTGGCCCAAACTCGCCAAGGTGGGGTTGGGCCCCTGACCAAAACCCCCCGCTTGCAACGCGTGAACCGAGCCACGGGCTCGGGGCTCGCGCCTGGCTCGCGCTCGGGGCCAAGCGCCCCAGCGGCTCGCCTCGTACCGCTCAGTTGGTGAGCTCGGTGGTGCTGTCCTCCAAGCTCACCTCGCGCCTCACGAATCCGGGCCAGCGGTAAGTCATGGTAAGAATTGAGGTGCTGGAACACGACAAACCACTTCGCAGGTCTGAGCTTGCATGTCAATGCGTATGTGCCACGCGCTCTTCTTTCCGATGTTCACCCAGGGAAACGCAGGTAAGCCAGCAGGGCTCCTTTTGGCTTCCCCTGAAAACAGGCCCCAAAGGAACCCTGTCGCAAAAGCCATGCCCAAACTCTAGGAGGGGTCTTGCAACATGTCCAATCCGTCCAGCAGCTTCCAGGGAACGAAACCTCTCCCTCTTTTGAACCTTTCTGGTCCGTGCATTCAACCAACTCCCAGACCAGAAACTTCCATTGAGTCTCAGAAAATCTTGAAATGACCCCATTGGCCCCATCTTTTGACGCTCACATGGCGGAGACCTGTCCAAAGCACCCCATTTATTTCCTCTCCCGCCTGCCCTTCCTGCGGGAGACGTAGGCCAAAAGAAGGCCAAGGAGGAAGGCGCCTCCACCTGCGCGTGATCAAAACCGATCGGTATGTTCGGCCCATGTAAAGCACAAGGCGGATATCTGCACCCACTTGTGACTGGGATTGGCCCTTATCCTTCATCTACCCTGGCTCTGATTGTGGTGACCTGACGCCAAGACCCGTGATGAAAGCACCTTAGGGCCAGTAGAGCGTTGCAAAACAGGGCTTTGAAGGCTTGACACTGGACGCTTGCCAAACCACTTCTTGTTTTTGGGGCTGCTGCTATCTTTTGAGGGGCTGCGATATGCCTGAGAGAACAAACTTCTGTTTGTCAAGCGGGACCCCTTCCTATGATTAACTACCCTTTCCTTCATGCAAACCCACCAAACAAAACCGCCACAAAGGAAAGCCTACTCACATCAAACCGCTTGCAACGGCATCGGAAGCGACATGGCGTCACAAAAACTCAGGATGGCAAAGTGCTCCCTATGCTGAGGCGTCTGTTTCAATATATCCGATCCTTCAAAAGGCCGTTGTTGGGCCATGCTCAGGAGGCGGGGTTGAGGATCAATGCTCAAAAAGCCGCAACAAAAACGAGGAAAAAACTCTCCACCGACTCACAAGAAGCACATGGCTTCCGAAGTGAAACTCGCTCCCACGCGGCCGTACTTCACCCAGAACCCCCGCATGGCCTGTGAGCAGAAAGGTCCACCAGTATTGCGATGGCCAGCTGCCGGCGCCGGAGCCGCCGCCCACGAAGTCTCGCAGGCCTGAGGCGCAGACCGGCAGCCCGGAGCGAGCCGCACGGGTAGAGAGATTCGAGGAGAAAGAAGCGGTAAAGTGGGCCATGTTTGGAAGTTGATACATGACCAAAAATACCGCCGACTGCGACTTCTATCTGCCAAAACCAGGAGACCAACTCCTTGGTCAACCATTTCGAGAAGATGCTTAGTTCACTCCAAACTCTCAAAGCCTGTTGCAAACTGCGGTTACCCTCCCGTCCACACGGAACCAGACTCGGGTCCTGGAAGACGACTTTCCTTTAAAAAGGACCCTATGGTGGGCTCCATGTCATTGGGGAGGTTAAGCAACCAGACTTACAAGACATGTCATGTCAGAAGATGTATAGCCTCGCTCGCCTATTCAAACAAAGCACCCGGGGCGTGTAGAGGCTTCTTCTCAGCTGGTTTCAAGTGCAGGGGTTTGGGCGCCGAACTCGGTACGGTGTGCGAACCAAAATGTAAACTCAACTGAGCTGATGTGTTCGCATGAGCGACCAACTCAGGAATACCGGGCGCTAATTTGGTTACAAAGTGCTGGTGATGGTGCACCCGCTCCCACCCCTGCCGCTGCTCTTGGTTCAACAGAGCGCTGCTCTTGAAAATGGGCGAAAAAGAGCCGTCCCCTTCAAAGGAAACCAAAGGGAGATTGCTGGAAAAACCACACGGGGACAAAACAAACACCCCCATTTTTGGTAGGTGATTTAAATTCAAAGGAATCCTCTCCCAAACATGAAAAAATGGCAATGCACTGGGTGTCTGGGATGTTTCAGCCAAAGCCCTGATCCAAGTTTGTCGCTCCGAGAACATCTGTCTCCGCGCCTGGAATGCCGATGCACTCCTTCCGCAGCCTAGAGATGACCACCTCCCGGAAGGTGTCCTCGCACGCGGTAAAATGGATGTCACGACGCATCCTCAAATTGTCGGGTTTCGCAAAACAGAACCCCCCATTAGTGCAACTTATAGTCAACCCGCCCCCTTGTTTGAAAATCTGTGCGCTTTGACTATACATTGCACCAGAAATGACCGACCCCCCCCCATGTTCACTGCTTTGGGAGGCCGAACGAAAGGAAACCAACCATCTGTAGGGCCCGCCATTCTGAGGGACGCTCCTATGAAACCAACCTCCTCCTTAGATGATTGCTTGCCTTTCGGCTGACGTGTTTTCCCCAGATTTCCCAGTGCGCGGCCGCGCGTCATGTGGCTCTGGCGCGCCTTCGCCCAGCTTTTGCGCGGCGTTCGCGCGTTTTGTTTGCGGCAGCCCTTCGTGGCAAGTCCCTCTTTGGTGATCCGACGAAGCCCACTTTTCAAAGGTACACAACTGCCAGCTCCAACCCTTGGCAATCATTTCGCAGATCTTGGAAGATCGTGAAACGATTTCCAGTACATATCTAACAAGGAACGAGCACACACACGTCCCAAGCTATGCAAAACATACTTTCGCCCGAACCTTGGCCCAACCTGGGGCCAACCGCGCCAGGCTATCGCCGCGGCATGTCTCAGGGTCATTTTAGTGCTGGGGAACGTGGGCAAAACGGGGAGAGACACAGCGACCACTCCACGTTTGGACCTGGACCTTGGCGAAGCCGCGCAAGAGTCAGAAAAAAAGAAGAAAAACGCACCCTGTCGCGAAGCTCACGAAACCTTGCGCAGACTGGACTGGATGTTGGAAACTCCTTTTGCAGAAGTCAACCAGCTGAGGATCTTTGGGCACTGATCCCAAATGTGCAGGGCCACACTGTTGAATGCAGCAACACAAATATGAGCCCACGACTCTAAAAACCCAAGCAAGATTTGGCTTAGGGTTGTTTCAGTGGGTTTAGCCTGGGACGTAGGTGGGTTTCGGGCTGGTTTAGGCTGGTCTAGCTGCTGTCAAGCTTCCAGCGGGCACGCAAAAGCCTGGCCCGGGCATGGCAGGACCACCTCAGGTGGGTCCGCGTTTTTTTGCGCCAGAGATGGCAACTCCTGTTAACATTGCAAACCCAAACCGGGGAGTCTTTTTGCCACCTTTTGTGGAAAATTGATCGACCCCCTGGTAGTGAAGGATTCCTCTTTGAGGGGGTCGCCAATTTTCTCACGAAAGGTGGCAAAAAGACCCCCCTGAACCCAAAACGGGCGCGCAAAAGTCGCCATTCTCCCCTCAGGTTCCTGACTTGCCGAGAGTGGCCCGGGTCTAGTGGCCTTAGCCGGAAACTGTGGCGGTTGCCCCCCCTCCGATGGATCTACTTGTTTGCTGTTTGAAGGCTATTTTGGAGATGGAATGCAGTTGTTTTATTTGGAATGCCCCATGCGACTTGACCAGCATCAGCCCACCCTAGGCAAGGAAATCCTCTTCAAACTCTAATTTGAAATAACAAATTAAATTATGTGGTTTTCTGGACAATGAAATCATATGTTAATTATCTTTAAAAGTAGAAATTATACTATGTCCTTATTAGATTCCAGTTAGTTCTAAATAGAAAGTTGAGAAACAATATCCCGGGAAAGGACGTTCTCTTTAACATATGCATCTATTTGAAATCCGATTCAAATCATCTTTCAGTCTAGAACTTATGCTAGGTGTTGTTCACTTTCATTTTCTATATAAGTTCTAATTAGAAAATTAAACAAATCATCATGAAAAAAGACATCCTGCTGAACACCTAATTTGAAATAAGAATTCCAATTGTTAAAAACCGTCTTTTACACAACCTATGTAAATTCTCACTAGAAATTCTATTAGAAGTATGAAAACAAAGGTTGGACGTCTAGTGTCAAATAGGAATGGTGGTTACACATTTTGTTCGAAAAGGAAATCCTATTTCTTCAAACTAGAAACTCTACCAGGCTTTGTTATTTATTAAATTGCATGTCAATTCTAACTAGAAAATTAAACAAACACAATCCTAGGAAAAAATCCTTTAAAATCATATTTCAATTCTATTTGAGACAAGAACC